TACCTCTCTGACCTGTCTTCCCCATGTGATGTTTTGTGTAATGTATGTATGGTCGGAGGGTAAGATGGCGCCGCCATTGCGTGCAATAGGTCGGCAGCCTTATGAAATTTCCCCTTGTGGGACTAATAAAGGTATATCAATGCAATGCAATTCAATTCAATTCAATTCGAAACAGTTTGTGTGTTTGCTGATGTTTGTTGAGCTGATAGAAACGTTGCATTTGAAATTACCTAAATTTGTTAAAGCAAAAGTAATGAGAAAATGTAAGGAGTCCAAAGTACAGATATTTGTTTAAAATGTAATGAGGAAAAGTAAAAAGTACTCCAGTAAAGTACAGATACCTTAAAGTTCTACTTTAGTATAGTGGAGTACAAAGTATTTGTACTTTGTTACTTCCCCCTTGTGATGAACTGAGGCGAGTGAGCTGTGCAGCTCTTTGTTCTGGGCTGTTTGGTGACCTCTTGAATTAGTCGTGGCTGGACGGCCACTCCTAGGAAGGTCCACTGCTGTTCCGGTTTGGTGGAGTGCCATAGCTTTAGACATGGCTTTATAACCCACACTGACAGATCTCAATTCATTTGTTTCTGATTTCTTGGCTTTTGACCAGTGAAGCTCCCCTTTCTGTCAGTGTAAAGAAGTGACATATTTAACTGTTTTTCTACATGATAAAGAAAAAGCTGCTGTGACAAAGACAGAAATCTGTTGGCATGGCTCTTTGTGCTTAAATCATAAGAAATAAATGTGTAAAATTACAGAAAAAAGCCCTGACAGCTCACTGCAGTTTTTTCCTTTTGTTTGGAAAAAAGAAAAGTCTATAACTACTGTGTTACTAAGCCTCATGTCTGCTGCATTTCCGCTCGTCAGACTCACCTAATGAGATGGCTGGAACTGTTTCTTTTTGGCGAGGTGTCTGATATCAGCTGGCTGTGATGATGATGGTCCTGCTCAAAGCTGGTTTTTAGCTTTGAGCTCGTACTTGTTTTGCAGCCCAATTATTTCCATTGGAAGGTGTCTGGCACATCAGATGGTTGTACATTAAACGGCGTAGCAAACGTGTCCAATTCCTTTTGGATATTCTTCACATCTTGAAACCTCTCCTGCCTGAGTGAGTTTTGCACACTCACTGGCATATTCAGTTGTAACGTCAGGCTTTTGCTCTTGCAGGGTGGGAAAGTGTACAGTGTTTCCCTTTTCCAGTTGTCCTTGCCACAGCCTTAACTTCACTTCAAATGATTCCACATTTGAAAGCAGAGAGTTGATGAGCTGGTTGGGACCTTGCAGCTTGATATTTAGCTCTGACAAGTGCTTGGTGATGTTCACCATGAAGCCAGATCACTGAGGAAATTGCCATCACTGAGCTCTATGACAGGTTACCCCTTTATCTCCATGAAGCGTCTGACTTCTTCCCACAGTGTATAAAACCGTCCAAGCATATTAGCACAACTCAGCCATCGCACTTCACAGTGATAAACCAGATGGCTGTACTCTGACTCAAGCTTGCTGAGTAGCTCCTTGAACTGACAGTTGTTCAACCCTCTGCTTTTGTTTGTGGTGGACACGACGGTTTCATCACAGTGTTAAGCTTCAGGGAATGTGCACACAGACTCTTCAATCTATGACGCAGTGGCATACAGTGTCAGCTGTTCCCTTAAAGTTATCTCTTTCTTGTCTTAGTGGCGCTGTCACTTGGTGTTCGCACTCTCTGCGGTAGAGTATCACTTCCTGTGCCTGTTCCAACACACAGTGGTGTTTTTGAGTAGCTTATCTGCATAGCAACTTAATTAAATTTTTTTAGATAACTTCCTTTTTCATAGTATAATCTTCACGTGCTTCATCTGAAGCACACTCTCTGTGTTCTCACTCCCTAATTTGTAGCCAAAGTATGCACTCACTATGTATTTACTGTTTCACTATCTTAGCTTAGCTCGTAGCCAACTTGCTAGCAGCATTGCCTCTTTAAACTTCAAACTGCTGGCTAAGGGTAAACGTAAATCCAGTAAAATCCTAATTCACGTCAGCAGTAATGACACTCAGCTGGAGGTAGGGCTGGGCGATATGGCCCAAAATTCATATCTTGATATTCTTTAGCTGGATGGCAATATACGATATACATCTCGATATTTGTTTTAAAGCCATAAAGTAAGAACAAAAAGAGAGTTCTTAGTCAAACCTGTGTCCCAGCTCGCACACAGGCACTTTTATTAACGTACAGCGAAGATATACATGAACAAAATTACTCCAAAATAAATTATCAACATTTATTAAATAATGATGCTCCATAAATAAAATAAAACAATGTTGTTTTTGTGCATAACAAAACGCTCACAATTGTGCAGTCAAAATGTAAACTAACGGACGCTGAGCATAATAACAAAGACAGGCAGACTTCACAGCTGCTCTGTTCCCAAGTTCGAAGTTTGAAATCCGCTTTGTAACCGCTTTGTAAGGCTCCTGACAAGCACTGCGGCTCTGTAGCTTACCAAAGTCGTACTTAAACATTTTTTGACAGATTTTTGAGCGCCATGTACCACATAAAATCGGTTCACGGTCAGTAAGCACAACCAGAATTCATACATAAGGCGCTCTGTCGATTTTTAAAAAATGAAATGATTTTAGTGTAAGCTAACAGTACGAAAAATAAGGTATATAAGTTTTGTGAGGTGGTTTGTTTCGGGGCAGGAGGCTGGGAGACTTTGCGGTCTGGGATGCAGCACACAGTTTCACACACTCTTCATTTTGCACTTTATGGCGCTGTTGTAAATGCTGAAAATACTAGTAGCGCTCCAACCTTTAGTCGGGATGCTTTCCCGGCATTCTCTACACAATACATTATTCTGCTGCTCATCTGACACTCAAAATAAGAGTAATAATATTTAGTGCTGTCAACGCTAATCTTGTTAAAATGATGTTAATGCCATAACTGCATTAACGTGGCAAAGCTCCGTTAACAGGTTAGCGCGGATCACCCTGTGTGTGGGGCTGCGCTGCGTCAACG